TTTAGGCTGAAGATGGGCTTACACATTTTCTGTAGTCATCCTTCCCAGCATTCCTTTCTATCCCACTCAGGTGTCTATTTTACAATAGTAGGCAAGGGAAACCAATATTTATAAGAGAGTGAAACATTTTAGTATTATTTCCCCTCTTCAAACTATACCTAGATCCCTGTATCACAGAGCCCTGTTGTTCCAACCTGTCTCAGTGTTCTACTGTCTTAACTTGTTCTTCCGCCTCCTCCCACTTCTTGTATTGCCCTCCCCAACACCCAAACTAAACTCCCAACCCCAACCCCGCTGTTGTGGTTATCTTATATTCCATTAACTCTTCCTTCCATTTAAGATAGTCTATTTTATCCTGTAATCTACTTGACCTTCTCATCACCTAGATCTCTGTTCTCTCTGTTTACCTTCTTTTACATTGTAATTGTTTTGATTATAGACTGACCTCCCAGATCATCCTTTCTTATAATTTTTATTCTACTTGATTTATTATATATTATACTACTTGCTTTATTACATATATGTTCAGTTGTTGTTGTTAAGTGCTGTCAAGTCGATTCCGGCCCATAGTGACTCTGTTGTATAGGGTTTCCAAGGAGTAGTGGTAAGTTTGAGCCACTGAGCTTGCTGTTCACACTGACCTTGTGGTTTGCTGTATTATCCCACAGCACACCAGGACTCCTGTATTCAATAACTGCTGTTTTATCCAGCTATCAATTCTTTTGTGTGTTTTTTTGGATGGCTTTCAAAACAGGGTTTTGTTTTACTGTACCAGTCCTTTCTTAAAAGTGTTTTTGGATAAGTAAGAGTTGTTATTTTTCAAAAAGGTAGTTTCCATCCTATTGAAGTTGCTTTCTCAAATTTAATTGGAAAGAAATGGATCCTAGATTTCCATAACAATAATTATTTTTTAATTACCAAATACTTTAGTCTTTTCAGAAATTTTACTTTTCTTGTCCAAGGTCTTTTTACCACTTGAACCAAGGCTTATTATAAGAAGACATGTGTTCCTTAAACAGATTTCTTCCAACAATACGATAAAAAATTTTACATGCATAGCTTTCCATAATGTTTTGTTTACCTATGGAAAACATACTACATATATACGTGAATTATTAATAGCCATGAATTGCAAATTTTTCTTATTTATGAATAGCTCTTTCATGAAATCATAAATGCAAATAATTATTGACAGTTACTTGTTTTGCTTTTATTAGAAATACTATATCTGTGAAGTATGATATGTGCTTGGCAAAGCACTGCTTATGGTTTCTTAAAATCAAAGTGTCAGAGAAGCTAATTACCTCAAGTTAAGTAGTGGTCCGCCCTAACTTGTTTGTATACTTCAGTTGGAAGGTATTCTTTATAATTTGATCTCTTGAGTGCTGGAAAGGATCATATTTTTATGGAAAAGTCTGTCCATTTTAAGTGCTATTTATGATATTAGCTGATCATGAAGTTGCTTTTAACAATGAAATGTTAAAATTCTATTTCATTGTTCATTTTTAGGTCTCATTTTTTTTTTCTTAGTATAATATTTCATGAATGTTATTATGGTAAATATGAGCAGTAGGAAATAAATACATGCTTTTCATGTCTTTTAATACTTTTTTAAACAGAAAGACGTATTTCAACTAAAAGACATGGAGAAGATTGCTCCCAAAGAAAAAGGCATTAGTAAGTATCAAAGATGGAGTGAACTATTTGGAGAAGTACTGGCCATGTTTTCTGCAACAGTTGTTCACTCTGTGGAGAACATAACATTTCTAAAGATGAAGGTTGTTTAAAAAAATTTTTACATGATGTTTATGGACATAGCCCCAATTCTTTAGCATGTCTGCTCTAGGAAAATTGAAATGAATTGCACACACGTACATATCCAATGGTTGTACATTTATTTACTTATGGATATGGTGTTGGTGGTGGTGGTTATGTTCTATGGAATAGATTCCGACTTATAGCGACCTTGTACAGGGTTTCCGAGCCTTTAAATCTTTACGGGAGCAGAAAGCCTCAGCTTTCTACCGTGGAACCTCTGGCAGTTTTGAATTGCTGAACTTGAGGTTAGCAGTGAGACTCGTAACCATTATGCTACCAGAGCTCCTGTACTTATGGATATGTTGTTGTTGTTAAGTACCGCGGAGTCGGTTCTAGCTTATAGTCTTTACGGGAGCAGAAAACCTCATCTTTCTCCCGCAGAACAACTGGTAGTTTCGAACTGCCGACCTTGAAGTTAGCAGCCTGATTCATAACCACTACACTACCAGAGCTCCTTACTGATATAGTTTACTTCAAAAGGATTAAAAATTTCTCATGCATTTGTTTCTCATGTATTTGTTAAGTGTGACTTTGGATCTTTGCATGATATGTTAGTTTCCTAAACCTACTGTTGTAACATATCACCACCAAGTTAAAGGCTTAATACAGCAGAAATTTATTCTGTCTTTGTGTTGGAGGCTAGAAGTAAGAAATTGAGATGTGAGCCAGGTTGGCTTCTTCTCTGATGGAGAATCAGTTCTTTGCTTTCTTCCCTAGCTTCTGATTGCTTTCCTTGGCTTATAGACACAGAACTCCAATTTTCACCATCTTCCCTGCTATCTAAAGCCATATGTTGGGTTTAGAACTCTCTTGAAGTTCAGCATGATTTTATCTTCAGATTCTTAAATTATTTACATCTGCAAGGGCCTTTTTCCAAATAAGATCACATTCACAGATTTCAGGAGGTTAAAAGAAAAACATCTCCACTATCATTGAGTTGATTCTGACTCTTAGTTACCCTCTAGGACAAAGTAGAACTGCTCCATAGGGGTTCCAAGACTCTCAATCTTTATGGAAGCAGAAAGCCTCATTTTTTTTTCCTGCAAAACAGGAAAAATGTTTAACTTCTTAGGGTACAAGTTCCCTTTCAGGAAGTTAGGATTTAGATATATCTTTTTATCATTTATCTTTTATCTTTTATCAACCACTTCAGGAGCCTTCATGGTGCTCTAGGTTAGTGTTTCCAACCACCAGTTGCTCCAAAGGAGAAAGGTGAGGCTGCCTTTTCCCATAGAGATGTGCAGTCTCAGAAACCCTAAGAGCAGTTCTACTCTGTCCTGAAGGAGCACTATGAACATCTAATTTGTTTCCAAATTTTGTTGCTAAAAATAATGTTGGGATTAACATGCTGTCCATAAATATTTCTCTATACCTCATATTACTTCATTAGGACATTTCCTAAGAAATAGACTAGAGAACAGAAATTTGTATAGCTGTTAGGTTTTTTTTTTAATGTATTCTCAAATTTCCTTCCAGAGAATCCTTTTAACCAGTTTCCATCTAGTTGATTCCATTACATGGCAACCCATTGGGAATTGAATTTTTTAGAATAAAATTTTTACTCCATAGGGTTTCTTTTTTTTAAGTTTTTATTGTGAGGTTTACATCGGAGAACATCAGCTTTACACTCATCCTATCGTATTTCGTTCCATTGCAATGATTACAGTCCCCTCCATGCATCATCATATAACTCCAAAGGGTACCCCACACAGGCCTGCCCCACCCACATCCCCACCCCCTTGGATGCCAGCACACAGCCCTTCTCCCTCCCTGAGTCCACTGTCCCCATCCACTCCATCTGTCCACATCATCTTCTCTGTCTCCATCTGGCATCACTGTCTCTCTGGTTGGGGTCCCGATCTCTGTTCTTCTCACTTGATGGTCTCAGGGACCTCCGCTCCTGGGCTGCAAAATCAATCACTCTCCTCCTTTTGTCAAAAAGCATTTACCTCTACCTTACCTAGCCTCACAGTCAGACCTGATGGCAGTTATTCACTATTGTACCACATCAGTCTAATCCCCATTTCCTTTCGCCAGCCCAGTTCCAACAGATTGGAAATCATTCAGTGATGATTCTACCTTCCCCCACGTTGTCTGGAGCTAGGCTCTCTCTTGAAAGTTTGTAAGCCAGTCACTTCTTGCCTTTATAGCTCCTCACCCCATTTTGGGTAGCCAGTATGTATGTTGCCCATCCCTGTCAACCCTGTGTACCAAGGGGGTGGGAGTGATCCTTGCTGTAAAGATTTGTTCCCTTTTTTGAGCTACTACGTCCATAAGTATAGGTAAAACTCATCAAATTGTAGCATGTTACTCTTCCCCCCCCACCTCTTCTTCTAGTCGAGTTCTGATCATCTAGCCATTGAAGCCAGGTCAAGTGGGTACTATCTGCAAGTATGGGTGTTCTTGTGCCTCTCCCCTCACTTCATATCAGCTGGACGCTTCACTCTCCTCTATAGTCCTCTGTGGCCATGTCACTGCCTCTGGGCCCAGGAGTCCCCAGGTCTTGCCATAGTGCTGGCCATCCAGGTCTCCACCCGGGTTCATGGGGGGTCTATTGAATGTGTTCAGGCTTAGCTCGTAACGTCATTGTATTTTCCCCCCACTTTCCTTATCGGTGACCAACATGGTCACCATCGAGGCCACATGCTTGCTCATGTATTCCCCTTGAGTCTGTCTTAGAAGGGAGTTTGCTCTGAGGGGTCCCAACCACTTGCCTTGATGGCTCCCGGGTGAAAAGCTTACTTGTTCTTGTAGTAATCAATCAGACTGCCATTATTGTTTGGGATTTTTCCTGCCGGTCTTTCTTTCACAGAGTATCTGCTGTTCTTCTAGCCGCTCCAGGCTGGTCTACTCGTCCTTTCCAATGGAAATTTCCTACTTCAGTCAGTTCTGAATGGGGTTCTGGGTTTCACCTATGGTCTTGTGCAATGTAAAGGCTCCACAGGAAGCCTCTTTCACTGGTCAACTTCTAGCCCCCTTTAAGGTATTCCAATCAGTTATAGGCTGAAGATGGACTTAACAAGCTTTCTGTAGTGATGATTGTGGCTATTCCTTTCTCCCCACCTAAAGTGTCTGTTTTATAATGGTAGGCGAGGGAAACCAAGATTCAAAAGATAGCCAAGCATCTTAACACTATTCCCCTCTTTTACCCCTTCAAACCATGACTCAATCCCTGTATCCCAGAGCCCTGTTGTTCCAAGGTTGTGCATACATCA